TTTAGTTATGCCCCAAAAAATTATCCACTTTTTCCATAGATTGCTTTGATTTTTGTACGTATCCTTAAACAACTAGATTCAGAATATTGATGTCTCTCTAATCGTTTATCTGTAGTACAAGATATACTCCACAGTATTCTTGAAGATTAGGAGATGGTTCACAGGAAAAACAAAACGAAAATATATACGTACTTTGTAATAGATTGCTTTATGCAAATTATTTAAAGTGTTTCATTTTCAGCATCTCTTCGCCACTATATTATAAATAGGACGGACATACTAACAATTTATATTGGCCATTCGAGAATTGTACTATATATGATGAAAGAGTACAAGTAAGAGAAATCTTTATACTTGAAGACACGGAAGAGTCCGTGAAATATCCACATCAAATTTGAAAAATCAATGGCAACATAGTGAAAGCAATAGCTGTCTAAACAAGTTCGGTAAACTTTCCATTCTCACCACAATTTAATTATTAATCTCCATCATTGTTATACTAGTGTACAAAACTGAGTTTAGGTCATTTCTTTTTAGTGGCAAATTAAAGTAACAAATTGATTAAATGAAGGCAAGTTCTTTGTATAACGGGTGACGTAGTAAATAAGAATCTTTGGAATATTACAATTTAAAGAACAAATGAACAATTCATATTTGTCTATGAGGGTAAAGGAGTTACAATTGTCTGAATAATGTTGATGTTTTGGAAAGATGTTTATACACTTTTCTATTTTTATTGCCCATTATCTATTTCCCTTGATTTTGATTGACAAATAATCTCAATTATTGGACAAGTTGAGCAATTATCGTTGTTGTGTAAAAAATTAAAAATAAATAAGTTATTGACGAATTGGTCAAAAATAAATTGCTCAAAAAATTTTCATGAAAAACTTGTTCCACTACTTAAAAACGTCTAATATGTAATATCACATTCAAAATATCTTGAACGGGGATTGAATAGGATCACGATGAGAGAAAGTGTTGTTGAAAGAGTGCCAACCTTAAACAAATTACCAATGTCATTGAATATATATATTTTTTATTGTTTAGAGAGTCAAAAGATAAGTGATGAAAATCGATCCAAGATCTCATGGGACCGGAATGAAAACTCTTATCACGTGAGTTATCCATCACTCTCAAATCTTAATGCCATTGAATATATGATGACATAAAGCTATGGTTTGTTGAGTGGTAGCATTTGGGACTATTGTTTTGAATAAAAATTAAAAATCAGATCTCTATTCCAAAGGTTATGTACTTTGATAATTGTTTGTTGAATTTTAAAATATTATAGTCCTTACAGGCAATTCAGCAAATAAGCATCAACAGAATAAGTTAAACCAATGCTTGAATTCAACAAATCATATCGATTTCAGAAGTGAGTATAGCTAGAAGTAGAACTAAACAACTCTTATTATGAATGATTTAAACCGCACTCTAAACAATCCTACTTTTATTATTTTATTCTTTTATCAATGACAATATCGATACTAATCACCAACTTCTTATCAACTACTCCGTACTCTATACTCCATTTTTTATACTACCTCCGTGCTCATTTAATTGACACATTGAAATGGGCACGTAGTTTAGAAAAATTGGAGTGGGATAATTTTTATTAAATTGTTTATTTTAAAGTGAAGTTACTGAGATATTATTCTATATATTCATAGCAATAATGCATAAGCCATTGTAAAGTGAAGTTAGTGAAATATTTTAGTGGGGGCAGAGATTTTTTTTTTTTATAACTCTTAAAAGTGGTGGGCCATTATGTAAGATAGAAAAATAATTAAATACTTCTTAATCTTTGCCAATTTTAGTAATGTGTCCATTATTTAAATACAGCTGAAAAGGAAAAGTCACGTATAAAAATTTGAAATCATCGTATTTGGTGCATACTATTATGGATTTGAACCAGGTAAGTAACGAGAAAAGAAGTGAGTAAATGAGAAAAAAAAAACAGTACCCTCGATAAAGATGTAGGCCAAAAGTAGACCTGGCAATCCTAACCCGACTCGAATGATCTAACCTGTGACTCGATAATTGAACGGAAAATAACCCAAAACCGAACTAATCCAACCCGACCAAAACACGACCCGAAGTGAAGTTGACCCGAACGTGACCAGGTGCGTGCCTGAAATTACCCAACCCGAAATTGACCCGAAACCCGAAGTTGACTCAACTCGAAGTGATCCGAATCGAAGTGTCTCGATTTGAAATGACCTGATAGGTACTCGCATTTTTTTTAAATTTTTATTTACAGAAATTTACTTTATTTCTAATTATTATATAAAAGTTACTACTTTTATTGAAATAAGAGGGAATTTTCCCATAATTTTTTTAAGTGACTTTATTATAGGCAACCCGACTCGAACTTGAGCCGAAAACTAGTCCTGAAAATTAACTCGACCCAAATTGAACCGACTCGAACTTGACCCAACCTGAACTCAACCCGAAGTGTTGACCTGAAACCTAAATTGACCCGACTCGATCCGAACCCAACCTGATTATTTGCTAACCCAATAGCAACCCGACCTGAAATGACCTAACCTGAATGACCCGTTTGCCAGGTCTAGCCAAAAGTGACAAAGAACTACTCTGTACTACGGTGTTCCTCGTGGTGTACGGTGCCAAAAGTGACAATGAACAGTGACGGTGTTCCTCATGGTGCACGAGGCTGCGAGCTGCCTCTATATTATAAAAAAGAATGAATTTGAAAGAACCCAATTTATTTTCCTATTGCTCTTAGAATCAAATCTACATCAAAAATCAGAATACATCTATCCATTTTACAAAATGAAAAATGAAATACTACCAACCAAATTCATTTCAGAATGTTTGGTTAAACTAAAATTTGATGAAATCATTTACGAATCAACAAAACAGCCGTACTTTTTAACCCCTCTAGATCTACTCATGCTTTTCAAAGATCCCATACAAAAGGGCCTTCTTTTTACCACACTTAATACTACTAATGATACTACAACAGAAACTGTCTCTAATTTGTTTGAGAAGCTCAAACACTCGCTTTCCCATGCCCTTGTCCATTTTTATCCGTTAGCGGGTCGTTTAACTACGCAAAAGTATCCCGAGGAGAACGCTTGTACGATCTCCATCGACTGCACCGAGGGCGGCCTTGGAGCGAGGCTCATTCGTGCTGCCGCCCTCGGCCTCACTGTGTCAGATATTCTCTCCCCTACTGAGGTTACTGCGGACACAGTTCCGTCCTTTTTTGATCTAGGTGAAAAGTGGAATAACTATGTTGGTCATACAAGAGCTCTACTATCAATTCAGGTAACAGAACTACTAGATGGTGCGTTCATTGGGTTTAGCATGAACCATTGTTTTGGAGATGGCACCACTTTTGTCCATTTTATTAATATGTTGTCTGAAATATTTAATTTTGATGGTGATCTTGCTTGTGTAAAAGAGGTTATACAAATCTCATGTCCACCCATCTTTAATTATAAGCCGTGGAATGTTAATAATGTCCGAAACAAAGATGTTCCGCTCATTAAATTTCCGTATCTTAATTTTGATCAATATTTAGATGATTATAATAATTATGAGCATGAACGAGTAAGTGAGAAAATCTTCCACTTCTCATCAAGTTCATTGGCAAAACTTAAGGCCGAGGCCAACCAACAATGTGGGACAACTCACAATAATGTTATATCGTCTTTTCAAGCCTTAAGCGCGCTTGTATGGACGTCCATAACGAAGGCTTGAAACTTACCATTGGATCAACCAACTATATGTATCATTGCTGCGAATGCTCGCTCTCGGCTTAACCCACCACTTTCGGATGACTACGTCGGAAACTTTATTAGTGGAGCTCATGGAGCTTGCAAAGTGGATCAGTTATTGGGCCATGATTTCGGCTGGGCTGCAATGAGTTTGAATAAATCAATTGAGCCCATAAAGAACAAATACTTGGTCTTTTCAAAAAGGTTATTGATGACCCTAAAGTCATGGCTCCCTCTAAAGGAGTGGATCCTTTAGGAGCAAATAAGGTTTTGATTGGAGGGTCGTCGAGGTTTGATATGTATGGACCTCAATTTGGGCTGGGACGAGCTTTGGCTGCTCGCGTTGGGTTTGGAAAGAATGAAGATGGAAAGGTAAACGCAAACCCGGGATGTGAAGGAGGAGGAAGTATAGATTTGGAAAAATGTCTTAAACCTGAGGTTATGGCAGCCCTTGAAGCTAATGAGGAGTTCATGTGCTTTGTAACATCAACCTAAGAAACTAGTTTACTTTCGACAGTAATCGAGTCTTATATCCTTGCTACAAAAAATGGCTGATGCTATGTCGTCTATCCTTTTATTACTTGGAGTTGTGATTTTAGTTTACTCTTAAGTGAGGTTTTTACATGTGATTGCATAATATTTCCAATTTATTATATTTGCCTATTTGGTGAATAGTTTTGGGCTTTGAAATAGGTCCTAAGTTGTAAAAGTTAATTGCTGTTTAGAGTTTTTTATTGGACTGTTATCTCAATTTCCATGTTGGAGCAAGGGCAACGTAAGCTATTGATGTAGTTAGGATCAGCAAAACCGGATATCGAATATGGTTTCAAAAGCCAGGTCAAATATTCAGCTTCATGATCGCAATTTATATGTTCTGTTTCCGGTTCAGCTCCGATCAGATATCGATCTATCTATTACATCAAACTTGTATAATGACTGATCACGCAGCTCCTATTCGGCTACTCAATTTATTCAAAAAGCAGGAACACATCCTTTTTATTTCTAGAAGTAAAGCATAATTGGATATAAGGCATGATGAAAGCAGCTCCGTTCTCTTCACCTAATTATTACGAGCTCAAATTAAAGTTATAATCTAATTTACACGTATAATTTTGATTTTAAGTCATAATCTAAACCCTGTGGGAAGTAAACAATACAGAAAAATGGGTAACTCAGTACTAGTAGACTAGTAGTACCATAAAAAGATTGATTCGGTTAGATGTAGCATCAGCAAGATCAAAATTGCAATTCTAATTGAAGGGACAAAGTACTTTTCACATCTATTCCATTAGCCAATATGTAAACAATTACTCCCTATGAGTTGATATATATCTGATATACAATACATAATAAAGCATACAATATGTAACATTAATTTTACTGAATATACACAATATAACAACACCAGAACAAGAACATCTTTTTTGTCACGCAGGAACTATGAGGAAAGATTAGCAATAAATTTGGAAAAATCTAAGTTTACAGCATCCTGCTTTGAGCTTCCTAGTTGTCCTGATGCTGCTATACATGCAGTAATATTCACAAGGGAAAGGCCACCACACAAGGGAAGGTAAAAGTAATCATCCAAAGCACATGGAACTAACCTGATCAATCCTACTATATACTTGTATTGCAGAGTGCCAGAGGATATTTGTTCTATGTATGATCCTGAAGTAAATCAGCATTATTAGACTAAGTAAAACCGAATGCTTAATCTAAAAGCACGAAGCCGTTATTAAGGAAACAAGTAGAAAACTCAAACAAACTACAGACTTGTTGCTCTAATTTCTTTTAATTTATGAGCATTCGAAACACTATGAGAAAGGGAAATGAGAAACTTACATTCAATATCATCTTCTGCTCACAGAAGAGATATTTAGTGTTGCAATAGCTTTACAATAGATACACAATACAGCAGCCCCTTAGAAGCTGCTTGATTTCCCCCAAGAGCTGAAAAACTCTATCATGTGTCCATATATATCTTCTTTTGCATTCACACTCAAGAGAAAATCAACATGGCCATAACTATCAAGATAAAGAACCTCTTTTTTGCATGGCAACTCCTTGAGAGTGCGTTGTACATCTGTCACATCAGCTAAGGCATCATTGCCTCCATAAGCCATCCACAACGGCAATGACTTTGGAACAAGGCTAAGATCAAATCTGGGGGGTTTTAAAGAGCCATAAAGTCTCAGATTTTTTAACATCCCGTAGTCATACTGGGCAAATGTACCCTGACGGATCACTGCAATCAGAAAATTCAAAAGAACATAATGTCAATTCTGTAAAGAGTTGAATTTGACATCTTCATAACTGACAACCCCAATACAAAACAAAATCCTTACATTGGGAAAGGAGCAAAGCTTGCTACTACTTTAAGGAGAGAGAGAGAGAGAGAGAGAGAGAGGGCGGGGGGGGGGGGGGGGGGGGGGTGGGGGTGGGGGTGGGTGGGTGTTGACACCCATCACACTATTATCTGGACACTGGACTTGTACATGATGTAGAACATAAAACCAAGCTCAGGGAGGAAGTATATGAAACCGTAGATGCAAGAGCTACTTGCAGCCAAAAATATATAATTAAAAATAAAAACTCTGTATAGTAGAAAACTCTGTATAGTAGAAAAATGCTTCACAACACTTACTTTGAAAAAGATGGTTTATGTTTTTGGCTGATGAGGGATGGGGCTCGTATTCAAGGTATAAATCCACCCTTGAGGTATTAAAGCAGCAATTTTTTCCTGCAAAATGTAGGAATTCTTTTACATAATGAATAGAGAAAAATATTGCACCAAGGAAAAATTATAGGTAAGCAAAGACAGAGCACATGAACATTAAAAGACATAACAGAAAGGTTAACTAATTACAAGATAAAGTTGACATTCAGTGCAGTGCTCCCCCAACTACCCAAATTTATGATTTATAAACCTCAATCGTGATAACAGGTAATCATATACACAAGAATCACTTGGAGCAAAAATTCGAGGGAAAATGATAATCCACCAAGGAGCTGGAATTTGAGGAAAAATCAAAACCACTAGGAGTTGAAAGTCAAGGTGATATAAGACATATAAGGAACCATGGCAAGCATAAGGACAATGCTATCAGTTTTTGATTAGGATAATTTGCAAGAGAAGGGAAGGAATGGCACCATGAACAGTGGTGAATATATCCATTATTGTCAAAGAAACATTCAAACAATAAGGGAGCAAGCAGTAAAATCAACTCAAATGATGATTTGATTTATGCTTTCATTACCAGAGAATTCTCCTTGAACAATGAAAAGAACTCTTCAGTATGATTAAGGATAATTATAGTATGTCAATATAGTAGACAGTGCCTATGGGAGGAGTAAAATAACAGCCGAGCTCTTCCAAATTTCACTATCAACTTTAACTAAAATGACTTCAGCATAATACAAGAAGCTATATTCGCAGCTCCGACATGCTTTTTTCCAGCTTTTCAAAGTCTTATAGAAGAAGGAAACCAAGAGACTTACCAGTAATAGAAGCTAATAAGTCTTCACAGTCTAGATGGCCATAACATACAGAATCCAAAAGCTGAACACCCGCATCACTGCATTCATTTACATACAACTTCTAAGGGTGAATATTTTACACATAACCTCAGACTCGATGAAAGAAAAGGAAAAGGTTTCACCTCCGAAAGTTAAGTTGATGAAAGCCCATTGCGATTACCATCTGCACATCCAGGCAGCCATCCATACAAGGAAAAAATAAAATTAACATATATATCTTCCAATCCAAACATTAATCAAGCAAGGTCTGCATATAAATACTTGCCAGAATTACAACAAAATAAATACCTTGTCAAGGTACATATTTACCATGCGAAGAACAAACGGTGCACTAACATGTTCCAAGTATGATATTGGAGAAAGAAGAGCAGCAGCTTCCACCTTTTTCACTATGTCTGGCTGAGTGAAAGCAGTCAAAGACATTATAGTCCCCTGTGCTTCAATAATTAATCATTGTTTAGCAAACAGATAGCAAATGCACATGTGCAGCCACAGTTTTGGATCATAAAAAACTAAATGAAAGTTGAGTCGCAGACTCACAACTAAGCAAAAGGCAAAGAGTTATCACCTGTGAATGTCCAACAAGGAAAATCTTTGAGCTCGTCTCCTGATATACATACTCAATCATTTCTGCAAGATCAAACAGAGCCAATTCCTCCCAGCTCCAGTCCCAATATGCCTATAATGGTAGGAAAAAAAAAACTATAATGAGTACAATCCCGGCATAACAACATACAACTCAAAGAACTGACAAGCATACAATCTTTTTCAAATTTCAACATTAACAAGCAAAAAAAAAAAAAAAAAAAAAAAAAAAAAAAAAAAAAAAAAAAAAAAAAACAAAAACAAAAACACCCTACTCATACAAGTCTACAATTAATCAATCAATCAAAGCCTTTATCCCATAAGTGGGGTCGGCTACATGAATCAAAAGTGATTATTACGTGTAATCATCGACAAAAATCTTCCGTGTACTCATACAAGTCTTCAACCCTATATAATTGTATAGCCAAAACAATAGTGAACATCCTATGTACCTTGCTTCTCTCTGAAAGAGAAACATGTCCATGACTCCACCGTGTTCCTCGTACATTACCAACCCACACATCAAATCCACGATCAGCAAGAATGAAACCCAAAGATTCTTCTTTTGAGTTCAAAAACCACGAATCACCTCCCTGCGTTCACAGATATAAGATAGCAAACATCAAAAAGTGAAAGGATGATACCAACAACCAAGTTACCAACTTTCCACTTATTATATGCATTTTAAAATGACTCTAAAGGCAATATTATTTGTCATAGAAAGAAAAGACATGAACTTAAACAGAATTAGAAATCAGTGGAATTACAGTATTTAAAAGGGATACCAAAAATAAAAATCTTAAACAAAAACCCCACAAAATTAGCATATCTTTCTATCCTACTTTATTAAGCCATGTTTCTACATTGGGGATAATAGAGCACTCTTAATACCTAGAGCAGTTTTTATGAATTTTCTATATTACTCTTACATATTTTTGGCTTTGATCAGTAGTATCATGTTATGATGCTTAACCGCATCGGAAATTACGAATTTTGATTGAATTCCTTATATGTGGCCTAATACAGAGGGATGGATAAGGTATTATTTAAATCATTAAGCGAAATTGCGAAGTAGATAGCATAGTGCAAAACCAAATCATGCAATATGCCGTCCTTAAATGCAACATTACAAGTTGAAAATTCCTTAATTGGTAAATCAAATACTGTACTACAATCAGGTCAAATTTTGTTTCTATACAATATCAATGGCATTCAATTCCATTAATCTCTAAAAATCATAAAACACGAAAAATAAAACCTAATTCAGTGAGACATTAATTAATAAAATCAGAAATTAAAAGGGGAAAAAATAAATCACCATAAAAAGTCCATGTTGAAGAAGCACAGGAGGACCTCGTCGCAACCTCAATTCATCCGAAGAAGAAGACGACACACGCTGAAGTGCAAGTATAAATCCATCCTTCGTTTCAACCTGATCAAAATCCCACCATCAGAAAAATTACCAAAAAAAAATTCCAAAAATTGGCGGAAGAATTAAAGGAGAAGAGTACGGAGTGTTCGGAGCAAGGGTAGCCGGAGGGAATGATGAGGTGTTCGCAGAGGCTGCCAGCGTGAGATGGCCGGCGATAGAGGAGGTGTGCGGCGGAGGGGGAGAAGAGGAGAGAGAAAGAGAGGAGTGCGAGTGAGAGTAATGGTAGTGCGAAGGTGAGTGGTGTTGGTGGCATCTTCGCCGATGAGATGGGAGGAGATAGAAAGAAAGAGAGAGAAAAATCAGGGGAAAGAGGTGGCGTGCCGGAATGTAAATGGTCGGAGTTGTATTTTTCACGTGGGATTCATTGAATAAGGCGTCACTTGGAAGTTTAGAGTTGGAAACAAATTTGTAGATACAGATAGAATATGAATTTTTATGGGAAACGCGCTTGTCGTTGTGTGCTTTATTTACGCGCCTTTTTTTTGGTAAGTACGTATGGTAAAAGTCCTATCAAGTCGAAATTTTTTAGCGGTTAACTTGACTCGGGTTAGGAGTAATACCCTTTTAGGACTAGGAAAAAGGATAAAGAATCCCCCGTTCATTATACTGCTAGTTGAGTTTGATCTTCAATAATTATATGTGCAAATTATACCATTGGGGCAAGTCTCACTTGGTCATTTACGGGCCTCTTTGATGTGAAACTAGGGATCGACTAGTCTATTGTACACTCGAGTATATTCTATATTTGGCCCTCACGGCCTCATAAGGTTTTGGACACATCTATTCATAGAGAATATAACAAACAATAAAATGAACGCTATTAATTTTCTACCTATTATCGATACTTTCTTCTTTATTAGAAACACTTTTGGGATGAATCGAATAGGGTTTTCCCAAGGTTCTAATTAGAGGTATCAATTCGGATGTTTGGATCGGGTTTGATGAGGTTGGGTCGGGTCAGGTCAATTTTAAAGTTAAATCATACCAAATTATTGTGCGAACACGAATCAAAATCTAAATCGAATAATTTTTTGAGTCGGTTTCGAATAAGATCGGGTGTGATTTTGATAACTCTAGTTCCAATGCTACACAATTCTTTGTTATCCCATGTACGGATTAATCTTGGACCATGCACCTCCTATTTAGACTTTTCAAAATATTCTTGTTGGATTGCAGTAACTAGGGAAGTAATCATCCAATTTCCTTATTTCTAACCCCAATCATGCCACTTTTTCTTCTTTTCTAAACTCAACAACCTCGACTCCTCGCCAACTAAGCCTCCACTCACTCTCCGACCAACTCTCCGGCACCGGGAAAAATGCCGGCATTTGATGACTTCAGGCCACTTGACGAGAAATCACTGGTAGAGTACATAAAAGCAACCCCATATCTCCTCTTTGCTCGGTGTCTCCAACAATTATCAGATCAAAGAAGTTGGCGATGGCAACCTTAATTTTGTCTATATTGTTGTCTCCTCTTCCGCTTCTATTGTCATCAAGCAGGTTACCCCTCATCTTCTTCTTGTTTATTGTTGGTGTTAGTGGTTGTTAGGTTTGATTTTAGTTGTAAAAGGGTAACTCTGGGTAAAAAAAGATTAATTATTGTTTTGTACACTTGGGTGTACCATGAACATGATATATCCGGGCCAAAACGACATTAATTGCTTCATAAAACGCAGTCCAAACATACCTCAAAAAGGCGGAATGTACATCAATTTATTATAATGTACATGCGTATTTCAAGGAATAGTAATAAAAAAATAAATCATGCGAGATTTTCGATAAAAAACGTGAAAGTTATTCACGGGATAAAAATTACCATGGCCCACATAGTTGACCATATATTCTGAATATTTATCTTTTACCAAAATCAAACTTTCTCTCTCTAAAATTACTCTCTCTCTCTTCAATTTTATTTTCTCTATTCCTTTAAAAAATAATTTAAGGCCTCAAAAACAGTAAAAGATAAATAAGTAAAATTGACTAACGTTGAATAAGTCCTCCAAACTCCATATTTCTTGAACTAGTTTTGGATATGGATGACAATAGAAAAATGTAAGTTCTTAATTCAAGCATGCAACTTTGTATAAACTATTTAGAGCATCATTATTGCTGAACACAAAAAAATGGTTCATGGGTCACTATCACCATTTCTCTCTCATCCACATCAACCCAACAAACCATTTACAATATTCACTCTTAACAATGAACACTAAACAATGGTTCATCATCAATACTCCCTACCCCACCTTATTTTATTTTTGTAAATATAATCTTTTTTGTTTCATAATTATAATTTATTAACTCGATGTCAATGTAATTAATTGACGTATTTAATATTTTAATCGTGATTACTAATTAAGAAATTATCGCATTTTTTTATCAGCTTTTTAAAAAACTAATTCTTGTGATTAATATTTTTTAAACAACAACGCAGCTAATTTTAATTAACAAAAAAAAAGAGGTACAAATCGTGATTACAGTTCTACAACTATAATCTAGTACATTTTATTTAAAAAAAAAAACTACACATCGTTTTGTAAGATGTCCTTAGGGATAACCATTTGTTGTAAACCTAGTTGACTAAGTTTTCGTTGTTACCAAATTTATTCCATATATGTTCGACCAAGTCGTTTTTTAGCTGCAAATGAGTCTGTTGATCCTCAATCTCTGTTCTACGAGACAAGTATAAGCCGATATCCACAATACGATAAGTACGGTACTCGGTAGTGTCCTCATTAGCGTTGTCTCCAGCATTCATAAACTCATTGGTATTAACGTTATTTTGATACGTCTCTCGTTCATCTTCAACGATCATATTATGTATTATGATGTAGGCGAGCATGATATTGTGGAGTATGTCGGTATCCCACGCCAAAGACGGCTTTTTAATAATGGCAAAACGAGCTTGAAGGACCCCAAATGCGCGTTCAACGTCTTTCCTTGCAGCTTCTTGGTGTTTTGCGAATAAACGATCCTGACGAGTTTGTGGACTCGTAATGGATTTCACAAAAGAAGCCCATCTAGGGTAGATTCCATCAGTAAGATAATACCCATTCGTATAATGATGACCATTGACTACGAAGTTCACAGGAGGTGTTCGACCCTCTAAGATGTCTTCGAACACAGGGGATCGATGAAGCACATTAATATCGTTGCAGCTACCTGGCATCCCAAAGAACGAATGCCATATCCATAGATCTCTGTCCGCAACTGCCTCCAGTACGAGAGTTGCAACTCCTTCTCTTCCTTGATACTGCCCCTTCCATGCGTGTGGACAGTTCTTCCACTCCCAGTGCATACAATCAATGCTGCCTATCATGCCAGGAAATCCACGTTCTTCCCCAATACGTAGCAATCTTTCCATATCTGCGATGTTTTGACGGCGTAGGTACTGATCACCGAACAGGTTGATGACACTTTCTGTAAACTTTTGGAGTGCCAGTCGTGAAGTTGCCTCACTTATACGGACATACTCATCACAAGCGTCTGAAGCACACCCGTAAGCTAGTTGTCTAACGGCCGCAGTGCACTTTTGAAGTGGAGACAAACCAAGACGACCTGCCGCATCTCGCCTTTGTTGAAACCAGGGGTCATGTTGGGTCACTGCGTTGAGAAGACGCTCAAACACATGTTTACGCATTCGAAATCGGCGCCGGAACAAGGAACTTGGATAAACTGGGACTTCCGCGAAATAGTCATTGTATAACCGTGCATGACCTTCTTCGCGTCCCCTATCCTTTCGGGGCTCAGTAGATTTGAGTCGGCGTTGCTGAGTGGCAGCTTGAATAATTGGTGGAATGTACTCATGCATTACGTGTTGTATCATAAGACACACTTCATTACGTTGTTGAACTCTAAGCTCCCTTCCCTCATCATCCGAGTTAGATGAAGATGAAGAGGAATCGGTTGAGCTTTCGTTTAAACTGTTTGAATTCATTTTGTACGTAAGAAATGTAAGATAGAGTGAGGTTTGCTAATAGTAACTGCAAACGATTTATGTGTTTGTGTGTAAAAAAAAATGAAAGAATGGTGTTTATTTATAGTGAACTAATTTGTAATTCTTCTTCAGAAATAACTGAATATAAAGAGACAAAGATCACATGGGCTATGACAAACAATGAATTACAACCACACAGAAATTGAATGGAGAAGAAGGGTTTCACATGGGCTATGACCAACACTGGATTAGAACCACACAGAAATTGAATGGAGAAGAAGGGTTTCACATGGGCTAACAAAGGGGAAATTAAGATACTGACACAATTATATATAAAGAGACAAATTGATATAATTGAATAAACAAAATAAGATCACATGGGCTATGAAAATGGGAAAGTGGAAAAGATCCATTTTACTGATTAATTGATAAAGTACAAACATAAGGAAATGAGTACAAGAGGTTGAACTGGAATTGAAAACTTGTCACTACTGAAAATGAAGAACAACAAAGGAATTGAACACACTTAACTACAATAAAAATAAAGGACACTAAGCATCATTATTGAAACGTTGAATATTGTTCCGAAGTATTACTATCATTTCGTCTTCCCACTGTTCTCGGTTTACTTTCTGTTCTAGACGAGATAGTTGCTCCCAGTTGATCCTATATTGCTCTAGCTCAATTTTCCGTTGTTTCCTTGCCTCCTTGCGCTCCTGTATTTCAAGTCTCTTCATTTCTGCTTCGTTTGACACATTCATCGAATCCCCAAGTAGCTGCAATCGGCTGTTGAATGTTTCTAATTCCTTAAATGCTTGACTTGATGGAGCTTTAGCCTTCAATCTCGACTTAGCCTTTTTAATACCTTCAGCACGAGCTACTCTCTCATCACCGACACCCACGCTGGTTGGTGTGGTAGGTGAGGAATTGTCACCCTCATCCCGTGTCCTCTTCCCACTACTTCCGCTCCCTACAGACTCATCCGTCAGTGGAGTTGAATGTGGACGTCCCACCGAAGGCTTGAATGTTTGTTGGTCCAAGAAAGACCGGAATTTGTCCCACTTCCTTAATTGGATCCATTCCTCGTAGAAGGTGAATCGTCCGAATGAGTTCTCATGGATTTTGTGGGCCTCTTGGATAACATCATCTTCGTTATAGCCACTTCCCTTTCGCTTCCGGGCCTTATCATAGCTTCCGCACCACTTTAACACGGCTTCAGAGATTCGCATCCACCTTCCCTTCAAACTACTAATAGTTCGTAGGGATATTTCATCTGCATTCGATTCCCTGGCAGCATCGTATGCGTCCAAGACTCTCTTCCAAAATACACCCTTATTTTGATTTGTGCCGGTAATTATGTCGGTGCTGGTGTTCATGTAGCCGGATATAAGAGCCGCAGTTTCTGATCGCGACCAACCTCTATTGTTTGAACCACTAACACGAAATTCCGGAGTTGATTGGAGTGGTTGCTGTAACATTTGAGTGAAGTT